CATGATGTCTTTCACCAGGACCTGGTCTCTCTTTTTCTTTCTTTCTTTTTTTTTTTTTTTTAAATGATTTTTAGTTTTGTTCCACATTGTTCTCCCACTCTATCCAGGATCTCCTACAAAGACCTCCCTCTGAGTGGTTGATAGTGGTAGCCGGGCACCATCTAGTTCTTCTGGTCTCATAGTCATACAGGCTGAGGATCACATGGTATGCCAGTCCCTTGAACTAATTGTTTCTATGCATCTTTGGTTTTTCTTCATTCTTCTTTGCTCTACGAGGATAGACCCATCATTGCATATAGAGGACCACTTGCAAACTTTTAAGATCCCAGTTACTACTCACCAAAATAGGATGTGGAGCAATGTTTTGGGGTAATATGCCAATTGAGCTTGATGTCCCTTATGATCATGGTCCCGAGACCACAGGTCCAACTACTCGCTCCATCTAGGTAGCTGGCTGTGGCCAAGAAAAGAATGGACAATAATTTTTACCCTATAAATTTTTGGTAATTACTTGTTTGCTTTATACCATTTCAGCTTATAAAACTTTTCATAGAGTGCTCTACTTTCAGTTCATGGGAGAAACCTTTATGTCAGGTTAATTTTTTATGACGTATCAAAGCTTTTCTAAGTTACTGATTTTGTTGAGTCAGTTACTGAGAGGAGTGTGTTCAGTGTTCCACATCATTGTGACTTTGTCTATTTTAGTTCTTTCCCTTTTTGCTTTATACATTTTTGAGACATGATTTTACAAATATAATTTAAAATTGTAGCATCTTCCTGGTGAATTGAACCTTTTATCAGTATAGTGCTTCTTCTTTTCTCTAATTATACTTTTGTCTTAAAGATAGTATGGATGTCATTAATGTAGTATATTGGTATTCTCTAGCTTTGTGTTTTTAGGGTGGTGGTGTTTTTTTACCCCTTTTCCCCTCAGCCTCTTTATTTTCTTTTTTAAATTAGGATTTGGGTGAAGATTTACAGAGTAAATTCACTTTTCATACAGCAGTTCACATATACTTTGTCTCATGTCATTGACCAAAATT